TGCCCTCCCTCACGCCAGGCCAGAGCAACAGCAGGTTGCCATCCTCTGTCAATTAATTCATCAGCTCTTGTGGCAGGTGTCTGTGTGGTGGATCTAAAGGTTCCAGCCCAGCAGATGACTCAGATTTCAGGACACTGTATATTTTGCTTTGAATCAATGAAAACTTTCACCCAGAATAGTATTAGAAGTATGTAAAGGCTGAAACATCAAGCACTCCAAAGTCAGGAGTGGAAATAGAAAAATTGCCTATAAAGAAATAATTTAAGACTTTGGTATGTGTGTGCATAACAAAGGAGAAGATAATTAATGAGCACGCATCAGGTAAGTGGGGTTTTTTTTGTTTGATTGTTTTCTTTTCTTTTTGGTCAGATCTCCAGCTCACTGAGGGTACAAGGTGAATCATGTCTAACATAGGAATCATTTGCATGTAGGACTCCAATGACAATGGGAGGTGGAAAACAGGCAGAATAGAAGAAAGATGGATGCAAGAAATCAAAGTACAATGTTGCAATGAGAGTGCCTGAGAACACTGCATCACATCTCTGCATTTTCATTTGAGGGAGGCAAATCACTTGAAACAGATTCTTCCCAAGCAGTCAGTCGCTGCCTATTCCTTGTCTTCTAGATGCTAAGAACTCCAAATGACAGAAATAGTCTATCCCAATCTTCCTTGGAGAAGGAAGGGGTAGAAACAAGACAGTGAACTTATAAAGCCTTGGTGAATGACATGAAACAAATCTGATCCCAACCATCTTAAATTATCTATCTCAAATAAGTAGGTACTTCTGATCATAACTGTCTCTGTTTCCTATCCATAGAAGGATAATGTATTTGTCTCTCACAGGGGTCCCCAAAAAAATAATTAACACTTCTGAACTGCTCCCAGGGTATAGCAATGAAAAAACCAAAAAAGCCCATGAGGACATTAACAATTCTGTCCTCAGAGCAGGATCTGAATAGTGCACAGTAAATACAGGATAGGGCTGCACAATGAACACTGAAGCTAAAACAAAACATTGAATAGCTGCTTATTATGTGAAAGTTTTCCATTTGGAGAACTCAGTGAGGAAGGGGTCTAGCAGAGAGAATAACAGAAGCCCCTATGATTAAAGACCATATCACAATGCACATACTCACGGGGACTGAGCTGACACTGAACACGTTACCTAAATTCACTCATTAAATCTGTTTTAAAGAGTGCATTTGCTTGTCAGGAAAAGTGCTGGATGGCCATACGAAGCCTGTCCAACAATCACGCAGTTTTACTTCTCTCTCTGTCTCTGAGGTTTCATGTTATCCCAGAGATAAGGACTGTTTGATCTCCATAGACCATCCACATCCTGCGCTCGCCAGTGCTGAGCACTTGATCCCCAGTCCAAAATATTTAATCACCTGCTTAACCATAAGCACACAAAGAATACTGCTGAATTCAATCAGGTTGTTCATGTGTATAAATGTAGCTGCGCATATATGCTTTATTAGATTCCTTACCTAGACATTCATTCTCCAAACAGCCCTCTACATGTTGTGCTATCATGCCCAAGCAGAACTTCCTGGCCCCCCAGTTCAGCTGTTGGAACAGCTCATATGAACAACCTTTGATGTACTTCAGACAAAAGTCATCTGAGTTGGTTTAAACAATACATTCATGAACAGGGGAATCATCTACACGTATCACCTAGTGGAGAGGTAGGAAGGCAGTGATGTCTGGCATATGGGCAGGGAAAGGTACTTACGAACAGAAATATTTTCAGCCAACAAAACACGAGCTAGAAGAGCAAGTCTGTCACTTCAGTCTCATCTGCAAGGCTGACATCACTAGAAACAGCTGAGAATATCCCCTCACTTCACATAGGCCAACACAATGACAATGACTTACCATCAGGAGTGATTGTTTCAAAATCAGTGACATGGAGATCAAAAACTTCCTATTGTTCTCTGATTTCTTGACCTATCCACTCCGTCCTAAAGATGATATGGTCATTATGGATTTGGAAACACTTTAAAAATAAAATAAGCATACTTTGTAGAACCCAGAAGAACAGAGAAACACAGGTGCTTTAGTTTATTTTTATACAGTAGCTACAGTAAACTCTTAGTCTTGGACCCCTTAATGCTGGAATCACGGTAGCTATGGCATTGTATGTGCGCCTCATACCCACTTCACTTATTTCTGTGTCAGACATCCTCCCCCCTCCACAATGAACTTTTTTCAAAGGAAACAGCTTATCTTCCATACTGCAGCAGCAGAAGAAAAATCCTCCTATACAGCAATATTTAATATGTGCTTTTATGCTCTTATGGCAGCTAATTTTCCTTAAATGATTTAAGGGAATGAATACATCTAAAAGGCCTGCACTGAGCCATTCTGCAACAGCAACATGAAGCTGAACTTCCTCTGCTTTAAATAATCCAATCTCTTGTGGGCAGCTCCTCATGGCAGATCTTATCTAGAACAGGAGGGATGAAGGTTATTTTTTATTACACTACTTTGCAGGGAACCTTAGTTTGCATTTTATTTCATTTCACATTCCCCAGGGTGGGGAGACTTCAAGCAAGGAGAGGGTGGCAGAACAAACACGTTCAAATGCATAATCCCTGATCTGTGGCAGTTTGACAACAGTCCCCCTGCAACTGCTTCACCTATGCACGCAGCCGACCATCTATCGTGTGCTACTCACCTAAAAGTTACACTCTGCACCCGGACAGTGCTTAAAATCTTTATCAGCCTGAAGTGATTCAAAGCAGATTTTTATTCTGGCACTCTGTCAGGAGGGGAGGGGTGAGGGGTTTTTATCTCAAGTATTAAATAAAACCAGCCACTGCTAAAGCAGGATGGCACACGTACAGTCCCATGCCCTTTCTCTGAGGCAGCTGGCTTGTTTTCCCCTTTTGTCCCAGCACTTGCGATACAGTCTGTTCATACAAATATTACTTGGATCAGAGGAACTAAGAATCTGGTATTACCTGAAAAAAACAATAATCCCTTATACTGCATTGTATTGCTGAGGGTCTCTAAAAGTGTCAGAAAGGCTGGTATTGACTAGGGGATAATAAAACCAAAAAACCTTCTTGTCTGGTGAGTAGCTAATTCACTGAGAAATGAAACTCTGAAGAGCCATCTGAACTTTGCTGGTAGTTTAATCAAAAAAAAAAAAAAAAAAAAAAAGAAGATTCCTAAATAGTATTTTTTTTTTTTTAATTAAATAACCCTGAAAATGAAATATTGCATTTGTGTTTGAAAAGCTCCTTTTTCTTTCCCTCAGAAGGAAATGGACTCGAACTGGTTCATCTCAGGTTGATCACTGGGGAGGGGTGGGAAACAGAGTTGGAGGGGAAAAAAGATTTCCATTTCAGACCGACTCTGACCAAACATTTCTTTTGATTTTTCGTTTTAGCCACCACAGCAAATAAATTCATTCTTCACACACAGGGCAGCTCGAAGTGACCAGCTTTTAAAGCTTCCCAGAAATGGAACAAAGCTGAAAAGAATTTCCCCCTCCCAAGAATAGCTTTATTTTACTGACAGTGACTTTTAATAGTCCCAGGATTTGTTGCTTTAGTAGCTAGAAGCATTCCTCTACACCCAACTTTCTTGTAATCTTAAAGGACCTCTTTATTCCTGAAAAAAAAACCTTTCTCCTCAGACAAAGCAGCCTGCATGCTCTCTCTGTCATCTAGAAGGAAAATTGTCTTGCTATTTGGGGTACGAAACAGAGGAAAGACCAGGCTGGCTGTAAAGCTCCTTTCTTTACTTTCCATCATCATCACTCTAATACAGCAGAGCTTAGGAGCCTTGGTCACAGGCACAATGCTAGGTGATGTACGAACAGAACAGAAAGACAAATTCTGTGCCAAACAAGTAGCAGTCTAAGAAAATATTTTCCAAGCAAGTGGATTCCACTCCATATGTAAGGACCTTATCTATTAACCTATCTTCCTTGAACCTGAAACCCCTTCTGTACAGGTATTACTACTAGCAGCAAGATAAAAAGTCCAATTAAGATGTACTGGGAAAACCAGGAGTTAAATTAAAGTTCTTATCCTATACATGATGTAGCCGGGGTAAGAATCCTCTTTCTTTATTAGCAAGGCAAACCAGATCCTTTTTCACACTAACAGAAAGAAAAAAAATAATTAGCAAAACTTCAGGGAATTAAATATCCAAATGCTATCTCTGTAATGGGAAGTAAAAACAAAGAACAAATACCAGGAATTCCATCCAGAAAAAAATAATCATCTATAAAATCTCCTCTTATTTTTTTGGTAGTGATTTTTTCCTACCCATCTCCATCTTTGTTCAGCAGTTTTTCTTAGGTGCCACGTTCAATAATCCTTCTGCGCTTTGATGTCAAACATTCAATAGCTGTCTGCCTCCCTCCCACTCCTCTTCTCCATATTCTCTGCAATCCATCTCCTCTGATTAGCTAAGATTTCACCTTCAAGAACACCTCTGCTTCTCTGAGTGAGCATGAGTGTGTGCGTGTGTGTTTATATAATATTTGCAAATATTATCCCCCTCCTGCTCTGCACGCTGCATAGCAACCCCTGCCGGAGTTCTGGATTAAACATCAATGCCATTCCCTAATTCAATTTGGAGGGCCTGCTGTTTTGAATCTAGCTCAGGACATCACGAGAGCAGTTCGATTGAATTTAGGCCCTGCTTTCAGAATTATTCCATATTTAATCTGAGTTGAACTTCATTTCACTTGCTCTCTCCACTTGGATGCTTCCTGTGACAAAAGACACAAATGTTCCCTGACCTCATGCAGTGGAGGTGGTGTTTGCTTACTTCTTTCTTATTGTGGTTTGCCACTGGATTAAGCCACATCAGACTTAGTGGCATGTTGCACAACCCCGCAGCAGGAGAGAGTCGGTACCTCAGCAAGTGGCTGTTCTGGCATCACCTTTCCCCACTCACCGGATTGTTGTACATCTCAATGATGAGCTGTTTCACTCCATGCAGGGTGGGATGAGCCCAAGGAGATGGATTTGCCCAGTGCCGGTTTAAATCGAACCCCATCAGGGAGCACCTGCACACACAAAAAAACAACATACACAAAAGACATATATGGGCTGCAGCATCTTTTGGCTTCAGCTGTAGAATTAGGGCTATATTCTGCAGCTGATTTATTTAAATGAGTTATTCTCATGGCAAAAACAAAGCAAATGCTCCCCCCGAGGAAGAGGAAAGCCTGCGGCAATGGCCACTTTTAGAAATTACATGAACAGCAGAGTATCAACTGAAACATCTTTGGTCGTTTGACCTTCTTCGCCTCCACAACACGTATGCTCACTCTGTCCTTCGCCTTTTGCCAGCTTGCCATGCTGGCACTGGAAGAGCCTGCTTGGCCTTTGAGGTTCCCTTCTCTTCCATGCTCTAGCTAGGGGTCTGTAGCTATAAGGATGATTCATAACCTGCATCACCAGGTCTTTACTTTGCCCTCAGTCAGGCCTTGACTCAGCAAAGCTGTTAAGAGCATTGAAATCAATGGCCATTAAGTATGTGCTTAAGGGATTTAAAGCATGAATGTAATCGTTCCATTAACCCAGGGCCTCAGCCTCTCCCCCTCCTGCAACTGCCCACACAGAAGTTAGCCAATGAAAACACTAAGTTAAAACAGTTATTGGCCATCCAATCTTGTGGGTCTTGAAGCATGTATGCCACCTTGGCTTCTCCTTCCTACCCTGATTCATATCCCTCTCAGTACACTGTCTTGAGTTTGATTCTGCTGCTCCCAGTCCCATGGAGTAATATCCCATTCTTTGTGAGGTTCCATCGAAACTCAATGGGCTGTTGTTACAGTGAACGCAGAAGAAATTAACAAAGCTGGAAGTGGTATAAATAGGAGGGGGAAATCATGTCCCTTGCCTACTGCAAAGATCACCTAGACAATCTACGGCCACTGAGACAAGCCGGGAGAGAAGTCTCTTCTGTTGACTCAAGCTGAGCTTGGGACTAGTGGACCTTGGGTAAATCTTGTTCAGGAATTCTGTGAAAGACCACACAAATAATACAAGCCCAGGCAGAGATGCAACTTCCTCTATATTTAAAAAAAAAACAAAAAACTAAAAAAACCCCAAAAAATCAACGTCACCGCTAAGCCTTAAAGCTTCTTGAGAAAAGAAGAGCTTTCATTGATCCCTGGTCTATTATGAGAATGTCTGTTCAGCCTTAATCTTTTAAACACACCTATGCAAACAATAGAGATTTACTCCAGTAGCGCTATCCTTCAACTAAAATTCTAAGAATCTGATGACCAGAAAACATAAGTTTAATCAGCACAAAGAAAGGAAAATTACTCACTTCTCTAACAGCTTAAACAAATGATTGCATACATTGAACACAAATAAAAACAGAGAGAGAGAAGTGAAATACTAAGAAAAGTGAAGGGATGAAACCAGAGGATTAAATTAATTTCCAAAAATGATGAATGAATATTTTCCTATGAATCAAAAAATACAAATTTAATGGAACATTGTGTAAAAATTCTCTGGGGAAGCTGAGCAGGCAGGAGCCACCTTGCTCCTTGGCCTTAGACAACCCAGCCATCAGGCTGTCTGGGAGTTCTGACACCCCACTGCCAGCTTTCAAACTCCATCACTGCTGTCTTGGTGTGCAGGTGAGCCGGATGGCTCACTGTGGTGGAGAAAGCCACCTCCTTGTCTTAGTGCTCACTTGTCTACTTGTCTAGAAAACAGATGGATTTCTTCTCTGGACACCCCAACAGCTACAATTCCACAGACAACTCTGAAAGTTGTCTCCATCCCACTATAAAGCAAAACGCATTATATAAGATGTCTCTTTTTTTTTTTCCTTCACATAAACTCTCTTTTCACTCAGTTCTGCTAAATCCTATCTTCCTTTGAACTCACAGACATTAACATAAAATCAGAAATACTTCCTGAGACATAGGTGGAATTACACTAAGATAAAACTGGTGTAAGAGCAGAATGACAGGAATGAGTTCTTCATTTAACAAACGTAGAAAATGTGGTGATCATCATGAGTCTTACTGTACATTCACACAGTTCCCAAGAAAACAGCATGTTCACTCTACAAAATAACTTTCTTAAGATATCAGAACCTAAAATCATATCCCCTTATATGGTTAGTGTCCCATTTACATTTTGTTTTAAGAATATTTAAAACTAATAACACTACAGAAAACAAATATATTTTGATTGCATTGTATTTCATCTCCAAAGCACATTGAAGTGGCCAAGCTACAGAGCACCAAAAGCAAATTTTAAATTCAAACATATATTGTCAATATTAAATTTGGGGTTTGGGACTTTTTAGATAACATTATATAAAGTCATCCCTATAGGAAACAGAAGTAAGCAATATCTAATTTCTGTAAGATACTCAGGCATTGCAATTTGCAATATTTGAATTTGCCATGAATGTCTGGTTAGTGATAAATCTCATAGTTCATTTCAAGCAACAAGAACAGTTGAAAATAGTTGTCTTTACTCAAGAAAACTTTATAAACAGAAGGAAGCAATGCTTGACAAACAAGTTATTCATGTGGGAAGCTCCTCTGGGCTCTATTTAATAGGAACCCAAATTAATTTCCAAATATCATTTAGCTAGTCTTTGATGTGGTATATCACGTCTTTATCAATGTAACAACAATTAATTCAATTTTTGATGTAGGCATTACTATTTCTTTCCAGTTTGGGAACAGTGTAAAATTTTCTCCCCCCCCTCCCATTTTTAAGTCTTTTTTCTTTCCTTTTTGCCTAAAGACAAATTTGTATCTACTACATTCTCTCTTTATTCATCTGTTGCAAACTTGCAGTCTCTCTAAGGAAACATCAAGTTGTGTTCCTTGGTACTTCAGATTTGATTATTGACTCTACTACATGTAGAACTGTCTCCCAAAGCTCACGTATATCAGGACATGACCAAAACATACGGTAAGTGTCTCCCACATGCCTATTACAGATCCTGCATTCATTATATTCTCTTGCTCCCAGATGATGTGATCTCCCTTGTGGCTAATACCTCCAATGCAAGAACTTGAACAGGATAACTTAAAAATTGCATCTTGCACTGGTTTTTAATTCCCCCTACCAAGCTTAAACCAGCTCATTTCTAGTACACATTGCTTGCTACTTCCATTGTTTAACTGTTTACCTGCTGCTTCAAGCAGTGGGTAGGCAAAGTAGAAATCTAGGTATACTCTGGAAACAGCAGCTCTACAATGGGAAACAACCGTGGTCCTCCATAATGCAGGATCTTTCAATATTTAAGGCCAGCTCTCTTACTCAGATTGCAAGTGTTGTCATTGGCTTCAATACGGTTCCTCATGTTCCTCAGATTTAGAAAGGGCCTCCATATCTGTCACATACAATTAGGTTTATTTTGTGCATTAAATAAATGTGTTCAGTACAAAGTTAACAAGGCGAAAAACCCCTAAATTATGTCAAAGGACTGTTTAAGGATTATCTTTGAAAGGGGATGTAGAGGAGAGCAGAACAGGAGACATTACAGACTCCAAAGGGTTCAAGGGAAGACAAAACCAGCTTCAAAATCAGTGAGGGTTGGAGCAGGTGAACATTTCCAGAGCAAGGGCACTGAAAAATATTCCATTCCATTAGGTTTAACAGCCATGCCCATGAACACTCTTATAAATGTGGCAGGTAATATTAACATGGAGCCAGCTAAGAATGGCATGCTGGCACAGACTCCCATAGGTTAGAAAGTGTCATCAGAAGTAGGTGAGCTTTCTACAACAAGCAAAGCAGCAAACTGCTACTATTACCTGGTTTTGGTCTTCATTCATACTGTGAAAACCTGGGTTACGTGTCACAGTCATTGCTGCCACAAAAAATGGCATGTATGCAATTTAAAATATTTAAGCCGTTAACAACTGTTAGAATTTTGGATTATGCTTGTTAGGTTTTGCTGGATACACAGACCGCATACTACATTTCTGCTTTGATTGAATGTACATTTAAATCATGTTCTGTGACTATACTTGTTGAATTAGAATTTGCGTTTCACAAATGTTCTCCAGTCTTTTCCTAAAATTTCTGTTTTCTCTAAGTAGATAAATTTATTAGTGTTTATAAATTTACATAAACACAGTGCAAATTCATTCAAAGCAAAACTGAAATGGAAACTGAAACATTTTGCAGTATTCATCCCTCCCTACTTGGGAGACAGCCAGATCTCAAGAGGTTACCAGCTCAACTCAGTAAAACCAAAGATGTTCAGACCAGCATTCAGCTTGCTGGGCAATTATCTGGACAGAACCTCCTCGCCTCTGAGGGCTTAACCCATCACTGGTTTCAAGGATTTCTTGTGCAGCTGCTTTAACGAAGACATTCTTGTCCCTTTCTAGAACTAGGGAAGGTTTAGTGCCAAGGCCTATGCTGGGTTTATTTTTAGGGCTGCTTCCTATTCTTCCAGGTTGTGCCTCTTCTTTCTGAAATCTCCAAGTCATAGAAACCTCCAGGAAGTCTGCCTTCCTCCTTTCACTTCACTTCTCCCTCTCCTGTTCGTTTTTCCTACTATGTGAGCCTAAATCTCTCACTAACAGACCCATTTCCACAAGGTGAGATATGGAGAATAATGGAGGAAAGGAGTTAAAGAAATCCTTTTTCATGGCATATGATTTATTACAAAGAGAACTCTACACTCTTCCCTTCAGCTTTGTAAGGTTGTGTTGGTTCATTGGATCAGTACCAGCTGAATCTCCAGATAATACCGCACACAAAGCCAGGGAGTTCAAATCCACAAATGGCACTACCAACAGGGTTAGGGTTTGAAATTGAAAAGGTAGCAGGGGGAGGGGGTGCACTCACTTTTTTTTTTTTTCCTCAAGCTTATTGCAATGAGTGGAGACAGAGGGTAATTGGTCTCTATTCTTGCACTTCTTCGAAGCATGAGTTATAGCAAGAAACTGCTGTGAGACTGCAGCCTGCAATATCAGGCAGGAAGAGTAGGTGTGCAGTATGAGAGCGTGAATACAAGGGGAGCACACGGAAGACTTGCTTCTTTTAATAAATATATCATTTTAAA